AGCTCTGAAGGACCAGGTGCAGCTCTCTCCATGTGAGGTAAGTCAACTGGTGTCCCTGGGCTGACCAGGAAGGTCATGCCCACCAGGTCTGTCCCCAGTGATGCAGAGCCTCAAACGTCTAGCCTTGCAGCCTCAGTCTTGTGATAATTCTATGTCATGCAAGCTCCATTTTCATTTCTGCTTTACTAAAGGCAGCAACTCGTCCACAGGAAGCACTACAACCACAAGAAGATGAAGACCTCTGTTCTCTGGTTACAAAAAACAACTGTTCAGTGCAGCTTGAAAGGGAAGAGGAAGCTGATCTGCACCCCTTAAAACAACATGGCTACCAGAAATCAAATTTCCAAGTCCAAAGTGCACTGCATGCCGTGAATTTCAAAAAAAGTGCTGAGTGCACACTGCCATGACTTGTGTTACATCCTCCTGGAAATGAAATATGTTCCTCAGAAATGAAATCCTGCTTTCTCACTACTTCTAGGTCTTTATCTTAACAAAAAAAGACAAGGCCAGTTCCGGAGAGAGGTGAAGCTAGGGCGCAGTGCTGCCTTCTTCAGTGGTGCACCATGTTATGTGTCTCACACCTGCAGGTATCCTTCAGCCACCACAGCCTTGCCCCATGGAGGCTCCCAAGGAGAAGATAAGAGTGTGGAGGCACAGCTCCCTCCCTTCCTGCTTGGTCTTACCATCCTACTCTTTTTTCTCCCCTCCTTTTCTTTCCTCAATGGATGACCAAAAAGGGGACCTGCAAATGTAGAAACTGCTTCCTGCACTGCTGGTCTCTCCAGCATTCATTTTAGGGAGTGCTACAGGACTTTATCTTGCAATCTCATCCCGGGTAGCATCTCATTGTATACACAATTACACTCCTTGAAATTACCAGGCTTTTCCCTTGAGCTGCAACTAGCTATGTGGGTACTGGAAGAAAATAAAATGTCACCACTTTGAAACCAGAAGTGATCAGGAAAATCGTTAAATTTGTTAGGAAACAAGAGCTGAAGGTAAACCCCCTGTAGCTCCCTGGCAGTGATACCTGCTGAGCAGGTGCCTCACTGCCCTGCCAGCAGCCGGAGGAGCTGGGGCTTGACACAGGCAGGAGAGAGGGGTAGGGAAGACACTTTGAGCCTCTTGGGAAGACACTTTGAACTAAGACCATTGCTGATATTTCAGTTAGATAGTTGACAGAAAGTCATTCAGTTCCTCCATCTGTCCGACAGCCTCTCCTCTCCTGATCTCTTCAGCTTCAGCCACATTTAATGACAGGACAGGAACTTCAAAAATGTAATTTCTTATTAATTTGGGCTGGTAGGTGAAACAGAGGACCCAAAGACATGCCCTTACCCGAGGGTAAGCCTGCAATGTGTACCTAGTGAGGCTGCCTGCATGGTTCTACCTGCTGCTTCAGGGGAGGCCCCTGCCCCTCAGCCAGCTGGAGTCCTGCGGGAGGCCAGCAAAAGGTGAGGAAGAAACCTATGGAGTGGTCTGTGATACCACGTTACGGAATCAGGCAAAAGAGAAGGAGCAAGACCTACTATGGTGAGGAGAAATTTTCAGGAAGGGACACATCCAGCCTTAGGGTAGGGGACAGAAAATGCTGGAAAATGTGCTCCATCACATGGCTGCATAACTGCGCTGTATCTTGGCCAGCTTTCTCTGTCCACATCCGACTACGAAACACAGCAGCGAAAGTGCAGCCATTTTGTAGGTTATGGGCTTACATGGTAACAGTCTTTGCTGTTTCCTTTTCTTTGAATATATATATCGTTCCCTAATGTTGTGACATTTGCAGTGTGGGTTGCAAGGCCAGGATGAGTGGCTTGCCCAGCCCTTGAACATTCATATTTGGCTGGAAGCTGCTACCAAGTCTTGTGAAGCATCTCACTGCCAAGGACCGAAGCCCCAAAATACATACTCCTCTGTCACTCAGAATAGAGTTTCAGTATATATAAATTCATACAAAAGTTTTCAATAATAGACAGTTTCAGGATTAGAATAGAATCAGCTTAACTAAAAGCAGCCCAAGATCTGGCTGAGGACTGGAGACAGATTTTCCCCTTCGTTTCTTAGTTTCATTTCAATGCTATATCCCTAATAATCCCCTATGCTTCCCCTGTCTGAAAAGAAATCTCTAGGATAGTCATCATACAAATATCCCAGTGATTTTCAATAATAAACATTCAGAGAACAAAGAATACTCCTGGAGGTTAAAGATCGGTAACAATCACAAGTGCTTGGCTCCATGAAAAAGAAATAACATTATTTTTCTTTAAATGATTGGTTTCAGATGTTCAAGTTCAGTAAAGAAAAACCAGAGGAAACAGAGGAAATTGATCTGAATCAAATACTAACCAGATTAAGCCTTAGCACAGTAGTGCTAAGGACACTGAGTTTTTGCAAGGACAGCTGAGTTCTTAAAGCTGCCAGAAAACTTTTCATCAAAACCCATGCTTCACTTTTTAAAACCTTTCCATGAAATGACAGGTAGATCATCCCTTACCTGTAACATGAAAAGCTTATTTTGCTCTAAAAATCCTTCTTTCTTTTGGCTGTAGGGATCACCTTTGTGCAGGCTGGTAGTGTCCGTCTGCGCTTCTCCACACAGTTTATAGATCCTCAGGCTCGACCTAGCTCAGTGGCTCAAACATTAACAGCATGGAGAATTATTGATTCTTAATGACTAGGTGTGGTATGAACCAGCAGCCATGTAAGGAAGCAGCTTTCCTCTGAGATAATTTACAGCCTTCTGATGTCCTTTGGGATTTTCTGTCTGAGGACAGGTTTTTTTCAGTGGGGCTGCGAGAAATGAACAGGCAGGGCATGGGCTGGAGCTGCTGGAGGAAAGTTATCCTTTCTCTAGGAGAGGAGGTGGAAAGGAGAAGGCATGGGCCTTGGGTGGAGATCACGTTTGCTACTTCCCCAGTAAAATGGATAATTCCCATTCAGAAGATAATCTATTGGACATAAAAATGGCTTGTTTCCACAGAAGATCTGAGCATGGGGAGGATCGAGCCTACTTAGGAGAGTAATTTGTCAGTCATCAACTTGGAAAGTTCAAATTTTGTCTGTGCAACAAATTTACTTTGAGCAACTTTGGGAAAATCACTCTCTTTGTCCATTTCCAGATACTCATCTCATAATGGATGTAATTGCTCCTTTCCCTTGTCTGTCATCTTTCACGTCTCTTGAGGTCTTCAGCCCTTCAAGGAGACCAGTTCCTGCTACTCTCTGCATTATAACACCTGTAGTAAGGGGAACTGAATTAAATTGGACTGTAAATGACTGTTGTATAATAAATAATTAATAAAACATATTTGGAAAAAAACAGAAGTTTTTTTTAAAATCATCATCCTTAGAATATTATGCTTTCTGTTCACTTACTTTCTAATGTCATGCTTATTTCAGAAGTTTTGAACAGGCTTATTTTATTCTCTCATGAAATGCTACTTTTCATCCAGGTTCTAACTTCGACTTTCAATTTATTCAGTATGTTATATTACTCCTGAACATTGTTAAACTGTCTGTGCAGCACATTAAATAGTTTCTGCATTACACATCCAAAGAAAAAAGTGTTTAGAATCGATTACAGTTGGAAGGCATACAGTTCTGGGAAAGGTGACCTTTCTGTTTGTGCTTCAGATCACACTTTTTTGCTCAAAATCAAGTGTTTGATTCTCCAGGAAAAAAAAATTCCTAGGTTGTGCTTTCAGCATACATTCAAACACAAATGTTCTCCATTTGCTCACACACTCAGAATGATTCAGACTTGCAGTGCCTGCTAGCACTGAGTTATCTTTAGAGCACAGCTCAAAACTAACAGTTCGCATTAAAGCACTAGAACTCATTGTTAATGATTTCAAAGTAAATATAGTAAGGGGGAGGGAACTGAACTTTCTTGGAAATGTGTTGAGTTTAAGTGACTTACATGCAGATTAATTGTGTACTAGTTGGATATGAATGAGCAGTACTTTCAGCACAAAGCATAAATTTCAAAATAGCAAGAATTCATGTGGAAATAATGAATTCACATAAACAAATTCCTAATGTAGTTTTTAGCCTCCTTTACATGACAAGTGTAGAATAACACAAGTTGTGATGTCAGAAGTCAGAGCCACATAAATAAGTTAGGCGTTTGTCTTTCAAATGCCTGAAAGTCCAATTATTAGGAAGAGATTTAAGGCACCTAAAATGTTTAATTGAATGCCTATAAGTTTTAAAGTCGCTGGAAGAGGTGAGCCTGCTCACTCTCAGTATCATTCTCCGGCTGAAATGATTTCCCAGCCTCAGAACAACTGCATACATATTGTAACCACGCAGGAACAAAAAAAAATCTCCCATGTCAAATGCATTACAAAGTCCAGAAGTACTTAAGGCTTTACAACAGTCATAACATGGTACTACAGATAAAATCACACGAAGAAACCCAGCAGTGAGACTGGTTTCTTGAGCCAACTGTTTCTCTGAGTAAATCTGATGAAAAGGCAAACATCCAGGTGTTTATTGTGTGAATCATTGTTCAAAGAGTCAGTTTTTCCAGAAACAACTCTTCTCATATGATTAGTCGCATCCTTTTCACTCTTCCCATTTAGCAGCTGTGTCATTCCTCCCTCATTCTTTTTTCAGTTTTTCTTTTTATCTTTCCACTTTTACTCCTTGTTTCAACTCACCTGATATCTCTCCACGTACCTCTTCCACTTTCAAAAGTAATGGGACCTGCCTGACCTCAGCTTCTTTCGGTTTGTTTAGAAAATATTTCTTTTATGGATCTCTTAGGGCATGATAATTTCACGGCATGATCAATATACATCAAAATAAGTTAGCAACCATAGAGGAAAAAGCGAAGAAAAGTA